TAACATTTTGTTTTCTTCGAAAAAAACGAATTTATGGTTAAATGACTGCGCGAAAAAAATATCAAAATATCCTAGTTACTAATGATATAAAACATTGCATTAATGTTTATGATTAAACGATGTATTATTATCACGCGACCATCAAAATATTCTATGGGTAACGCTATTAATAATAATTCTTATTGTATACAACATTATAATGTCGTTTAACGAGATGTTACCAAAATTATAAAACCATTGTGTCAAATAACTGCCATTAAGCCAAAAATGACGCAAGTAAAATTGCTTTAAAGGCTAATAAAATGTATATAAAAGCTTGCAAAAAAAAACTTGTATAATCCAAGGTCTTTTTTTTTTATGAATTTCTCGTGTATCCCAATCTCTTTTGTTTCATCAGTTGCTAAGTTTTCTTTTGTGAATACAAATTCAGTTCCCGCGCACTCATTTATAACGTGATGCATGATCGGGGTAGATAAAATTACTTTATGTTTAATTTTAGTATAATTATTATCAAACAAGCTACCGTGTAAATAATTATGAAAGTTTTTATAATATTGATTAAGTTAATAAATCCGTCTTTATCTTTATCTTTATTGTAGTGATCAACGAAATTTCCTTAAGGATAATTTCTGGTCCTCAGAGAGGAAAATAATAGGTAATTAACATTCTAATAAAATAAAACTCCATGATAGATTCATGATTTTTATTAAATAAAATTAAACGTTAATAACTTTTAAAAATAAAAATAAAATACATTGTCTTTATTTTCTTTATTTAAATCGTATTTAGTACCTTGGTAAAAGGCAACAATTGTGAGGCTTTGGCAAAAAGCCACGTTTGTTTGCTTTAGTGAGCAAATAAGCAAGGTTAGGACTAACGTTGTTGGTTAACTAGTGGGTATCAATGAAGTTATCATCCAAAGGTTAATCGGAAATACCGGTAATATTATTATTGTAATCGTAAATGTAAGGGAATTTGCAATGGCCAATAAATGTAAATAAGGGTAAACAACCGAAACAAATCGATTAAGGGTGCTCACAGATTCGTCTAGATGCAGTGATCGAGAACCAAAGTAAATTCGTAAACTAATTAATTTAAGCACCGAATTATTAACAACCCAAAGTTAAGCCATAATTGTTAATTAACCAAAATGATCCTCACAATATTACCATTTAACAAACTGTAGAAAGTTTATTATAAAATAAAAAGATAAATAAAAAGAAGATAATAAATTTATAGTGGAGTGATTAATTAGTCATTCATCGCTTTACTAGAGTTTAATTTATTAATTGATCTTGTAAGTAATGATTAATGGATAGTAATTCCAATTTATTAATAATGAAATTTTTATTCACCTTTGTTAACATTCTAGAGAAAAGAGTTAAAATCAAGATTACTTAACAAACTATCATTACTTGTATAAATTTTAAAGCTTTTAGATTTAGCAATCTCTTCATCTAATATTCTACTTGTATGATATGCATCTGGATGTGATTTGTGTGCTTGTTGCAAAGCATCGCCATCACTACCACCATCGCCACCACTGCTGCTGCTGCTGCTACCATTATTAAAATCAATTTCATGTTTTTTGATTTTTGAAAATTTGAATAATCTTTTTATTAAACTATTATTGCTAGTATTATTTTTCAAACTTTTATTTTGAATAATTTCTTCAAGTTTATTTTCAGCAAAATCATGAAGCTCTCTACTGGTTGGTCTTTTAGATGGATCCACATCCCAACATCTCTGCATCATTTGCACATAATCATCAGGCATTCCAGGTAATATTGGTGGTCGTAAACCTTCTTCACATATATCAAAAATCAAACAATGATTGTGAGCTCTATCATCAAATGGTGGATGACCTGCAAATATTTCCCACATTAACATCCCAACACTATATATATCAGTTTCTTTTGTGTTCTTTGTATTATTTTTGCCTCTAAGTAGCTCGGGTGCAACATATGATATAATTCCATAGACCTTATTTGATGACTTTTCATCAACTGGTCCACATAATCCTAAATCTGTAATATAACAACCACCTCCTTGCAATAATATATTACCACTATGTAAATCACAATGGATTAAATCTTTCTCATGTATCCAATATAATGCAACACAAAAATACATAAAGATTGCAATTCTGTCTTTTAATGCTAATTTTAAATGATTTTTTTGCAAATAACCCCTTAAATTTCCTTCTGGATGATAATTTAAAAGTATTGCATAATTTCCATTATCTGGGAATTTAGTTATACCATAACAAGGAACAATCATTTGTGATTTAATTTTACAATAATTTATTTCCTGTAATTAAATATAAAATTGATTAGTATTATATAATACAATATTGTTTACTTTTTATTTTAAATGACAATTACCAACCTCATCAACAAAATCTTTTCCTCGATTACTTGAATTATTTAAACTCTTTAAAATTACATATTGAGCACCAAAATGACTAAATTCCTGTTTATTTTCGTCATAATCAGTTATATAACCTTTTGTCCATGTTGCAATATAAATTGAACTAAATCCACCTTCAGTTAATTTTGTAATATCTTCAAATTGCTCAAAAGGTATCCATTCTAAAATATAGTTTGGTAGAGATGATTTAATTTGACATTGTTGAATAAAATCATTAATTATAGTATTTCCAGATGTCCAAGTGGTGAAAAGGCTCTGTAATTGTAAACTAATGCAACTTTCACAGAATCTATCAGAGTATCTTGTTGCTTTACACTTGTTACATTCTTTTGGTTTGCCTTTTTTCCTTCTTGCATTCTCTAATTCAAAGTCATAAATAAACCTTTCTTTACAAAATTCTTTTTCATTTTTAGAAAGCTCCTTGTTTTTTTTGACCAATGAAAAAAAATAATTTTTTCTATTTTTTCTATCAGAATTAATATTAGCATTAATACGCATTTCTTTATTAAATTTAAATACAAATCCCACTCTTTCTGGCGATATTAATGATAATAATGACATTTTTATTTTTAAAAAAAAATTATTTTAGCGTGTAACAAAAAGGTTGTTGAAGATATTAAAAATCGATTCATCAATCTTTTCCATTTATATTAAAAATCCGCCATAGTAATCAACTGACTTTTAAAACTCATTTATTGGGATTCTATGGAGTTCGAAGGTCGAAAACTATCACTTTCATAGTGCGTGAATTTGAAATCTGAAACTCTCGCGCATGAAATTCAAATTGGCCAATCAGAACTTTGTATCCAAATTTTTTTTTTTATTAAACGTTTTATTTTTTTATTTTTTTTTTAAACGTTTTAAGTTTGGATGGAAAGTCTGTTCATTTTGTTATAAAAAAACTTACCAAAGAAATACAAATAAGGAAATATCTTGCATAAAAAACATCAACCATTCTTATATATATGTATTATTATTGCTGTATTAGCTTTAGTTTTACAAATATATTCATAATTGGATAGAATTAAGTGGTTATTAAGCATAACGGAATTTCTCTGTGATTGGTCAATAATGATTGACAAATTTAATTGAGTTTATTGGCCAGAATTTATTTATTTAACTTAATATATATAAAATTCATTATTTCACCAGTAAATAGAATGTTAACATTTCTGTTGTGTTAATAAACACATTTGCATGCTGTTTCACAATTTTTGCATGTTTTGTGTGTTGTTTTCTTGCATGCTTATAACATGTTTTGCACATTGTTTTATGATCCTTGCATGTTAATAACATATTTTGCATGATAAATAACATTTTTTGCACATTGTTTTACAATTCTTGCATGCTAATAACATGTTTGTAATAACATTCTTAGATGTATATAAACAAATTGAAAATTAACTTTTTCTTAAATAAAGATAACAATTGGTGACAAGATTTACATATATAAGTTCAAAAATTATTAATTTTAACATTAATATGCCTAATAAAATCCATGGTCCTTGTTCTGTCCAAAATTGCCAATCAAGTCAATCTAGATACCGTACATTTACAAAATGTGCCTATGATAAGGCAGTAAAAAAAGGATCCTATCCTATATATAATTACTTGGAAATTGGTCAACCAATTTGCTATCCACATTGTTTAGCTATTGCAGAGCCTGACAGATATACCTGTTATAAAAATACAGAAATTCCACCATCTGATCTATCAGATGATAAATCAAAAGATATAAATAGTGGAGAAAACTATTGGTGCTGGTAAAATTTATTATTAAATGACACTTTAAAGTAGTTTCTTATCTCAAATTTATTAATCAAAAAATTATTTTCAGAGGTAAATAAGAATTTAGGACTTGTCAATAACTTGGAAATGTTAACAAAAGCATTACACAACCTACAAAGAAAGAAAGGCATTGATGTTGAATTGGACCCAATTAAGTTTCAAGATCTAATTGAGGAAGAGCAACCCCCACTGAAAGGTTTTTTTTAAAGAAATGTGTGATGCACTTATACCAAAAACCAGATCAGCATACAATCAGAATGAAGGAAAGACTGCAGTTGTGGCATTGTGCTATCAAATGGCTGGAATGAGAAATAAGTTTGTAAATGATTACAAACTATATATTGGATTGTATTTAGCAGCAAAAGGTACCTGTTGGGAGGCAATTGATACAATGGCAAGTGCTGGAATATCAGTATGTGCCAAGACTGTGGAGAATTACAGGAAAAAAATTGCAAAAAAGCATCCTATTAAATTAAGAGAGTATTTTTGTGAGCAGGTAAGTACATAATTAAACGATTTTAAAAAATATCATACTACTTACTAATTCAAAATATCTATAGAAAAATCATTATATGTATACAATCTGGATGATTTTCATTCAATAAAAGAAAAAAGAAGACCAGATACAACATCAACTTCCACAGCCAAGTACATGGCAATGTGTGTTTCTAGGCAAGTTACTAATTGTCCACCAATTCCAATTGAATTCAACAGAATATCCATTCATAATCCTGTTAATATAGATCCAAATAACTTGTGTTTATATTTAACTCGGGACTATCATGGTATTTTTGATATTCCATATAATCAAAGAAAGGATATGTGGACACAAAAATCTATATTGATGGATTTTGATGAAATAGAATGTCTAACTATTCATAGTTTTGATGATGCCATAAAAGAGAGAAAGGAAGAAAGATCAATGAATGGTGTCCAGCTCATTGGAATAGAAGACAATTGCATTCAATGCAGAGCTATTTGGAAAGATTAAAGATGATTACTTCAATTAATAAAGATGTTGGTCATTTGCAACATGTTGTAGCACCAGTAGTTGCTGATTGTCCTGGGCAACTCTTTATAAGAAAAGCATTGACATATTTGCATTCAAATGATCCATTACTCAGTCAATCTGTTCCAAAAGAAATTAATTGTTTTTTGCCAATTCTAGGTCCTCTGCATGTGTCTCTGAATAGTCGTGAACAAGTAATCAAGACCTATTATTTTTTTTTCGAAAAACTTTTTCATTTTGTCTTTGGAAGGAGGAAGATTTTAGCAAAGAAGCCAAAACCATGGTGTATAAACATCTTAGTTTAACTAAAAATCAAGAGATTTGTGTGAGACGCGAATTTTGGTCTCACAATAGCAATGATGGTGGTAATGGTGAAACTCCTCCAGGAATCAATCAACAGAGTTTTGACAGGTTACACATTAATTGTTTATTAGAGTTTTGGCAGAATTTTGCATTTGGAGGTTTTGTCAATTGTCAGGGTTTTGACAAGGTATATACTAATTATTTATTAGAGTTTTGACAGTCACTAAGAGGTTTCAGCAAGTAACCTTAGTCTATGGATGATAAAATAGATAGCATATAATCATTAAAAAATTTTATTTTGATAATAATAAGAGGTGTTTGTTCACCATATAACACTTATAATAACAAAAAAATAATGTGAAAATTTCAATAATCAGATGAATGAAATTTATTCAAAAATCATCAGGTATAGTTAATTCAATTTGTTTGGAATCTAGCATAGTTAATTCAATTTGTTTAGATTCTATAGTATTGATTATAATTTAGAATATATAATTTAAAATATCATTAATAATAAATAATTAAGATTAAATATTTAAACAATAAATTAGATAATTACTGTAACAAATTACTCCGAAGTCATGTGTAACATCAGGGTGGTACATAAATATTTACATTAGAAACGTGACACATTTATTATTATTATTTGTAT